TAAACAGTTCTTTGAAGTTAAATTTCAAGTTTGAGTCTTGTTTTATTTTGACTTTAAGACACTTCCTAACACTATCATCATTACCTATACTGTTTTTTAGTTTAATGATTGCAACAGCTTCTAATAGTGCAAACAACTAAAAAGTTATTTATTAATAAACTCATTGTATTTTATTATTTAATTTTTGTTTATTTTCAAATACAGTTAGTACATTAACAGTTAGTTGAATATATATATATATATATATATATATATATATATATATATATATATATATATATATATATATATATATATATATATAATTTTGGTGCTTTTATATAATTATGCAGTTTCCCAGGTTGATGCCACATTCTATGATTTTCTGAAACATTTAAAAAAAGCCATAAGTGTATGTAAAACCTCCAGTTGTAGTGTACAGTTGTAATTGTAGTGTACAGTTATAATTGTAGTTTACAGTTGTAATTGTAGTGTACAGTTGTAATTGTTTAATTATTTGTAGTCTAATTCTTATTCAGAGCTGAGGTTAGTTGCACATATAAAATTAAAACAACAAATTATTCAAATTATTTTATAGTTGTACAATTAATGTGACACTTTTTTGTGTGTTTTATTTGAGATTACTTAATATCAACTGGTAATTTATTGAATATGCACCATATTTGATTAGTTTATATTTTCATTGATCACCCATCTTCATCATTTTGTTCTTACCAGGTTTTAACTAATTTGAAAAAAGGATTTGTAGTGGTAAGTAGTTTCAAATGCTGATTATTGCACATGACCAATTGTTTTTTAAATTTAAAAAGTTTATCTTCAAGGATATAATATTGTAATGCTCCATCTTATTTCCATTATACAAGCATTTTAGCTCAATGATTGTAATAATATTAGTTCCACTTTTAAATTTAGAGGTACTCACTCAACCTTAAATGGACTTAAAAATATTTGCAGCATTTCCAAAACTTTTTGCATGTATGAAATTCTGGTATTTAATTTTTCTAGCAATTTTGAAATACTGTAGAATACATCAAGAGGTTGTTATGGTCACTTTTATAAATCAAATTGTTTACCTGTAATTGATAACAATCATTAGTCAACATGTTTTCACCTTGAAACATTTGGGTACAATTTCATTCAGTTTTATTATGTCATTGTCACTCCAAAGTTTAATTATATTATGACCATTGTACATAAAAGTTTTAATTTCTTCTCTTAATTTCTAATGTTTTTAGTTGAGTTAATTACTTCAACAACAACTTTCATATCATAAGGTATATTTTAAAATTATGCACATAAGTTCTCAGAGTGCAAAAAACAATGAGAATAAACATTTCAAAGTTCTTTGATCTTTTTCTCAAAGCTTTTATGCTAGATATTCTTTGATCTTTTTCTCAAAGCTTTTATGCTAGATATTCTTTGATCTTTTTCTCAAAGCTTTTATGCTAGATATTCTTTGATCTTTTTCTCAAAGCTTTTATGCTAGATATTCTTTTGATCTTTTTTATGCGATCATTTCATCCTAAGTCAATGAAAAATATACAAAGCTTTCTAAAATTGTGTCTAGCAATGCACAACTCTGACTTGTTTCCTTTCCTTCTTTCTACATTTCAACATAACTGACTAGTAAAAGGATTCAGCTCATCTGATTTTTTCTAATATAGACAGTCAAACACAAAGCATTGTCTTTAACATAAATAAAAGAGTACAAATTTTCTAATCTGCTCTGAAACTTTATTTTCGTGTTCAAGTTTTCTTTTTTTCTTTTCGATTTTTTTCCAGCATCACAATTAAAGAAAAAAATGTCTCAGAATTATTGAGAAAAGTAAAAAATAACAAAGTAGTAAAGTGTAATAATAATTCGTGTTAAATAAAATCTAAAAATGCAGCAATAATTAGGAATAAAGTTCTGTGATTTTTTCAACTATTAAAGTTTTAAAAAAAACTTTAACAATGTTATCAAAAGAATTTAAATGTTGATTTTACAATAACAAAACATTCAAAGTCTTCAAGGGAGGGGCAAAAAGGGGCATATTGACCCGGGTCAATATGCCCCTTTTTGCCCCTCCAGCACAAAAGCTGTATTCAGACCTCCAGCACAAAAGCTGTTTTCAAAAGCAGGTTATTGTCCCTTTTTTATTGGAACAGAAGAGCTAGAATTAACTGGATGAAACTCATATATTGTTTAAAGCAGCATCAATCCAGCCCATTGCATTAAAAGTTCTACATGGATCGAAAAGAAGCATACATTTGTCTTACCAGCTCCACTGGTTTATATTCAGAGGTCCAAAAGTGGATAAATTCTAAGACTGCTAAAAGGTGGACAATTCTTTGTGGGGTTTTGGATGTGACTCTTTTCTTGACTTCTAGGAATTAACTTTTTCTAGGTAACTTATTATAAAGTTCTCTAAAATATCAATTATAATTATTATATAAAATTATGTTTTCAGATGAAGCAACGCACGTTAATGGGAAAGGAAATGAAAACATTCTTGCCAGTATGGAGCTTATTAGTCGCCATAATGCTGTGATTGCATCCCACTTGGAAAATGTAAGGCACCATTCACAAGAGGGCTCCAGAATGAGTGCCCTTTATTCTCTCTATTGTCTCAAAATAAGTTTATCAAAGAATATGGTGGTGTCATCTAAAGTACAACTGTCAAAGAAATCCAGGATGGTATCAACTTCACAATCATAGTCCCAATATATCTCACACTGAGCGGATAACCTTTGTTATTCATTTTCTCCTCTATGAAAGAGAAACTAAATGCTGGCAAACCAAAGAACAATTCTTGTGTGTTGAAGCTTTCGAGATAAAGAAAAGAGTTGATATAGCTAAGCTTATCACTGATGTGATTTCAAGGCTAGATATGGATATTTGAAACTGTCGTGGTCAGGGACACAATAATGAATCCAATATGTCAGGTGTTTACAAGGGAGCTCAAGCCTTAATAAGGCAAAATTATTGATCCTCACTAAAGCAACAGGAATTTCACTGCATAGATTTTCTATGACAAGAAAGAGCTCTTGTACCAACTTGATCAAACCACTTGCCAAAAAACCGAGAGAAATGTTGGCAGCTTTTAAACATGCCATGTAAAACCTGGATCTGACCAGTGAGCAGCCCAGCCAAGCAAGAGACTTAAAAACTATAATCATCTTTTGATTTTGTATTACTAGTTACAATTTGGTACAAAATCCTTACTGCTAGTTATCTTTGACAATCTGAACCCATTACCATTGATAACAAACTACGTTTGATTGGACAGCTGCTGGAAGATCTTAAACAGATTAGGAGATCTTGGTTGCATATTTTCCAAGAGGCTGTAGCTGGACCACTAGGGTTCAAAACCAAACTCCTTTCTTAAAGAAATCGTAAACTAAAGCGCTTACACGGTGAGGCATCAAACACAGCCCATTTCCATGACACCCAAACAAAAAAAATCTAAGTGAATGTTTTTAATGATGGCTTAGATAGTCTGATTCAGCAGATTGATTTAAGATTTGATGTGAGCAAGATGGTTGGCAATATGTTTTTATTTGTCTGATTAAATAATGATGATCTCTCCGTTTAAAATAAAGCTTGTGAACTTGCACGGTTTTATCCAAGAGATGTGAACAAAGAGAATCTCATTAAAGAAGTTTACCATTATAACAATTTTCAAGGAAAGAAATCCACTGCAGCTTACTCAGTCAAATCTTTGAGATGAAAGCCTTTTTCCATACATTTGCATCATGCTCTGAATTTTCAACACTATTCCTGAGTAAGTTTTTGAGGGTGAATGATCATTTAGAAAACTAAAATTTGTAAAATATTTCTCTCTGTTTGACCATGGGCCAGGATCTGATATATGATTATTTTGATTGAACAAGATTTGGCTAAAAAGGTGACCTACGACAGTCATCAATATTTGGGTGGCCAGAACAGCTTAAAAAGTTCATTTTTTATCGCCTTTCTTGAAGATTCTGTTGATAGATTTTTTGTTTATTATTTTTAAAGCTAATGTTTTGATTCATATATTAGTTTTGATTAATGAACCATTTCTCAGATAATTAAAAGTTTAGCAGAAATTCAATGAACTGTATCAGAAATTAATAGTTGCTGCGTTTGCAAAACTTTAATTTTTGTAATTTCTTGGTTTGAAATAAAGACATTGTTCTTCATTTTTGACCCGGGCACCATTGGTGCTCTTAAAAGCTGAAAAGATCAATACAAATATTATGTCAAAATTCATGTGTATTTTATAATTTGGACTTTTTTATAACAATAAATAAAATTTAGTTATTAAAATGAATACATAAGAGTTTGCGCTTAAAGAAGACTTTTTGGTTACCAAAATGTTACCAAAAACTAAAAGTCTTTTGAGACTTTAAAAGTGCATACTTTTTTCAATTTTATCAGAAGTTAACAAAAGAGAAAAACTATTGAAATTAAAAAAATTTTTTAGACTATTGTGATTTTCTTTTTTTTTCTTTTTGTGATGTATGATTTTTTGTCACTTTAATATTTCTTTTAGATGCAAAAAATAAAAAATATTTTAAGTAAAGGACAGAGCAGTATTTATCACCAGAAAATCTGTGAATCTCATTCATTAATGACCTTAAAATTATTTCAATGACAAATATTTTATCATTGAACTGAAACAATACTGATTTAACTCAGTATTTTTAGGCAGAAAGTAATAATTGTTTATGTGGTAATATTTTCTTACTCATAACAATTATTTATGTATAAATATTTATGTATTAGTAGTTATTTATCTAGTAATAAATATTTATGTTGAAATAATTATTTATGTGGTAATAACTAAGTAGTAATAATTGTTTATGTATCAATAATTATTTAATTAATAATAGTTATTCATGTAGTAATATTAATTTTTTAGTATTGTTATTTACCTAGTAATAATTTATTATGTAATGAATTTTTTAACAATTTATAAAATAATAAAGTTTTAATATATAATAAAATGTACAAATTATGTTATTTTTAAAAAAAGGTTATAAAGTTGCAGTTCTCGGTATCACCAACACTATTTATTTACCGACTCAAATAATTGTAGAAGTTACACCTCCAATGCCTGCACTTAGGTTAAGTAGCACTTTCCCTCGAGCTCCAAGCGCCAGTATGTTAGATCCTGAAGACAAAAACTATAGAACTTTGTTTAATTCTGTCAACGTTTATCAAGGTCATAGGTAAAACTGAAAATGTTTCACTTGTTTACTTTATTAAATTTTAAATCAAATTTATTCATTTCCTAAAATACGTATTTTTGAATTGAAAAAGTTTGACAACTACAAGACATTTGATTAGTACATATTTCAAATTTATTAAGATTTTATTTCTAATTTAGTTGCAATGGAAAGTTAACTTTAGAAAATACTGGAAAAGTGGCCATCACAAAACTGAGTTTTGAAGAGAAAAATGAAGGTTTTTCTTGTTTAAATCAGTTCAACTTTTATTTTTTTTGAACTTACAATAATATAGTTTATAATTTTTTTTGTAGATTGTCAAATTTTGTTTAATGAAGAGCAAGTGTTATCTCAACTCCCACTTCTTCCTCATCAATCTTTAATTTTGGATGTTGAACTCATGCCAGCAAAATCTTGGAAGTTTTGTAATAACAAAGATAAGATTGAAACGTTATTATCTATAACATATTCATGTGAAGAGGCAGTTTCAATGGGTTATACTAGAAAAATTATGTGGAATACGATAATTAAAGTGATGCCTTCACTTGTCTTATATGACTTTGCTGTAAATGAAATTGAAAGGTATTTTACATTTTATACATGCTCCTTGCATGTTCTACCTTGCATGTTCTACTTTTATACATGCTACCTTGCATGTTCTACCTATTTCATCAGTTGATGTATGCACTGAAGCCCCCGGAAGCAGGCTCTTTCAGGATGATATCAGACTGCTTATCTAAACACTCAATATAAGTTATATTGATATATATATATATATATATATATATATATATATATATATATATATATATATTATATATAACCTATACTAATGCTAATTGCATACCATTTATTATAAAAAACAGCTTTTCACAACTCTAAGTGTTTAAAGTTAAACAAAATTAATTATATATTATGTAAAAATCATTAAAATAATTAAGAAAATTAAGTTTTATTATTTTTTAAAGAACCACAAAAACTTATACTAGAATGTTTAATTTTTTAGTTCAGAATATTTTTTTCACTTTTTTTATTACTATTTTTTTTTTACTTTTTTTTTTTTTTTATGGTTTAGGCAGCCAGTGTATCAATTAATTGAAAATTTTTTCCAGTTTTCTATATTACTTTTTTTAAATATTGTTGGTTGCCTAATAGTGATATTGTGCATTAGTATTATTACTATTTTAAAATAGCTTAAATAATTCAAAATTACTCGTTTTTAATTATTTTTTGAGTCTTATTAAAAGCAAATTTACTCTATGAATTTAAGTCTTCTTTTAGAAGCAATAGAGTTATATCTTCTTTTTTTAATTGATTGTTGATTTTCATTTATTAATTTTATTATGTTTATTTAAGGCATCCAACATGCTCATTGATATGCTTCAATGCAATTAATATGACTTCAATAACAATGGATCTAGAGTGCAACTCAAAAATTCAAAATGCTGAATTTGGTAAAAGTTTTTTGTATTAGTTACTTTTTTAATTTTTATTCTCATAATTTTCTTATAATTATGCCAATCACAATAGCATAATTATTACAAAATTATAAACATAATCAATTTTTTTTATTTTGTAGACATTCCTAAATGTTGTCAAAAATCTATAGTGCAAGTGTTAGAGCCGAAGAAGAGTATAAGGTTTTTTTAAAATCCCTGGCATATTTGTTTTTTTAATCCATTAAAATCTTTTTAATCCATTAAATTTACAATATTTAATTGTCTATTTTCAGTATTCAAATCCATCATCCTCGAATTAATCTTCCGCCTTCCGAATTCATAATGGAGGTAATTACAAAAAACACTTTTTTGGAGGTAATTTATTTTTGAAAAATTAAATATAAAGAATAATACTTTCTTTTTTTAAAAAAAGACTATAGAGTGTGTTTATCAAAAGTTTGTAGCTGAATCTATTTGGTTGAATTGGCGACTAGTATCTTTTTACACTATAAAACCTATAAATCATAATACTCATTAAAATTTAATTGTAATATTTTATTATATATGTAAAATTTTTATAAAGTTTGTTTTAAGTTTTTTTTTTCTTTTCAATTATACTGTTTATTTATTATAAAAACTATTTATTATCCACCACTAAATTTAATTTTTTTTTAAATGCTGGAAACTACTTGAAAACAAATGTATCAATAAAATGTATATACAAATAAAAAAATGTATATAACAATAAAAACTAATATAACAATAAAAAAATAAAAGATGCTTTATAAAAAGCATCTTTTATTTCTTCTAAAAATATTTAGTTTTGTTATACCAATTTATAAAAGATTTAAGGAAAAAAACACTTCAAAAAAATCTGACTAAAAAGTATGTTATCTCAATTTTTTCAACAACAGCAACTACAAGCAAGAAGTTTCTATTCACAGTTGTTACATTGAAACTTAGACTTTAATAAAAAATAAATACAAAAAAATGACATTAAAAACAATATCAGGTGTAATAGAATATGAATTATTAAAGAATTAATTTTCAAGGAACCTTTCATATATCTAAACTAATGTCACTCCACCAAAAAATTAGCAATTGAAGAAAATAATTGACAATAATAATTGGCAATTGAAGATAGCATTAAAAAAATAGTAGCAATACTAATATTAATCAGTCGAGTGCCAATATTAATCAGTTAAGTAACAAACTCAGAGATACCTTTTTTAATTTTACCTTTTTATTAGAGATAAAAAGGTACAATTAAAAATAACAAACAAATAACAACTAGAACTTAATTTTAAAAAAAACCTGACAAACTCAAAAGCAAGAGCAAAAGACTTCGTAAAAATTTTGAAAATTTATTTTATTCATAATAAAACTTACATAACAAAGTTTAAATAATTTAAAAGAAGTTTAATTTTTAAAATAGTTTTCAACTTAACACATATTTAGTCAGGAACTAACTATGATGGTGTAACATATCTACAAGGCTTCAAGGTGACTTCAGACATAGTAAACAAATTAAAACCCACTCCAATAAATATGGGTAATAAATTTTTTTAGTTTTTTGTTTGCCTTATATTTTCTAATGTTTTAAATTATGAGTAATAAATTTTTTTATTCTTTTTTTTTTTTTTACTATATTTTCTAATGTTTTCTTTTAGTTTTAAGGCTCTCTTTTTTCTCTTTAGTTATAAATATAAATGATAAATTATTGCACGAAGAAGATGTTGTCTGTTCAACCGTTGGAGAATTGGTTAAAATGACAATAGACGTAAAAAACTCTCATGGTATGATACTTAAATACATTTTGTTACTATAAATAGTAACTAATCTGGGCATGGTTTTAACTAGGGCCAAGTTTGATATAATAAAAAATGGGCAGACTTACTAGCTGGATTTGATTTAAATATGATGAGTTTTTTGTTTTGCAATTATTCAGAGGTCAATTCTATTTAAAAAAAAGTGATTTAAATTAAAAATCGTTTTAATCATCTTCATCATTATTAATTGGTTTTTTCATTTTACTCTTTTTCCTTGTATGGGTTGGATAGTGATTTTTGCAATGGGTTGCATGGTTTGGAAGGTGTTGTATGATTTTTGCAATTGGTTGCATAGGTTGGATAGTGTTAAGTGATTTTTGCAATGGGTTGCATGGTTTGGATGGTTTGGATGGTGTTGAGTGATTTTTGCAATGGGTTGCATGGGTTGAGCAGTTTCTAAAATCTCTTGATTACTCATAATTTTTACTTTACAAGTTCTCCTAAATGTTCTATATATGATCTATATGTTCAAACCATCTTGACTTTCCCTGGCTAGATGTTTTTACTGCTTAATTAAGGGGAGAGCAAGTGTGTTTATTTGATTATGGAGGGTAAGGGCAAGGTGAGAGTGTATTTATTCAAACTTTTTACACTTACCATTGTTTTATTATAGCTGGGGCTGGAGTTATGTTTAATAAAAAACCTAAATTTTGCTGAAACCAGGCCCCTGATAAGTTACTAGGTATGATGCATTTAAGTATTTTACTTTTTAACTGCATTAAAACAAAACTTTACACTGAATTATTTTCATAAATAATTACAAAGGGAATGAGGTAGGAAACCTGGTACTCCAGATTAAAACTTATCAAGGATGTCAAAGAACTCCAGAGTATATGAAAAAGTTGTATGTACCATTTGGTTCTCTCTCTAAAAGCATAAAAAAGGTTAGTTAAATTATGTTTAACATTATGTTGTTTAACATTAGTTGTCCTGATTTTTAATTTTCTTTTTTTTTTCTTTTTTTATAATAAATATTTTTAGTCATACAAAAGTTTAAATAGTTTGTTTGGTTTATGTTAAATCTGGCATTTTAAGATTTCCCTTTGAAAGCATGTACCCCAGACAAATGCTAAGGTAAGCACATACCCTCATACATTTTAATACCACAAACTTTAACAGGAGCATAAATACAATTCAGTGAATGTGTAAGCTAAGGACAATGTTGAATTAGTGTGATCAAATTGTCACATTAACTTATTTCATGTTTTCAAGTTAGGATAAGTGAGAGTGAAAATTTGTACAGTGTAAGTATAAACCACATACTAAAGGCATGTTTGAGTTAGCTTATAAATATACAATAATGGTGTGTTTTAACTTATAAATATGCGTTAAAGGCTTGTTTGAGTAGGCTTTTAATTATTTTCAAATATGATTTTACAAAGAAAAGCAAGGAGTATAACTAAAAATCTGATTATTAAAAATTAAACTCCTGTGTAATTGTTTATTATTTCTTATAAATTTAATTTACAATAAATATATCAAATTAAATATGTGATAAAGTGTAATTTAAATAAAAAAACTGGTTTATTGTAAGATAAATTCACTGTAAATAAATGCAATAGTTTATATTTGTAATTATTTTAATTTAATTTAAATAATTAGAAATATAAGTATTTTTTATAAGCTAATTTTTTTGCACAAGGTTTTGTTTAACTAAGCTGAATTTACTTTGCTTAAACTTGCTTTGTTAATTTTGTGTTTTATTCTTGAGTGAAGCTACAGTTAAGCAGTCTAAAATAATTTAGTCATTTTGCTAATAAAAGATATACGGTTGTTTATAAAAAAGGTTAAACAACTTTAAAATAAAATAGGTTTTTTTTTTTTGTTAAAGTGATTTGTCACAGATTAAAACGTTTTAAAGGCTGTTACTTAAAAACTGTTACTTAGAGGTTGTAAATTAGGGAAATTTAAAACTTTAAAAAAAATTTTTTTTTATACTTTTATATGCTTAGTTTTATTATAACTAGTTTTTTTTTTAGTGTCATGTATTTTTAATGTATTATGAAAATGGGTATTTTTGAAAGATTTAGTTTAACAATATAAATAACATATTTAAATCAATGTTCTTATTTTAGATAGCTGTTGGTGAAAATTTTATCCATCAGTGTGGGTTCTTGTTTCTTTACAAAGGAGACTATATGGTAGATGTATTATGTAGTGTTAGCAAACTGTTTGGAATGCCTACAATGAACGATCATAGACTAAATATTGAACAGCTAAATGTGAGACCATCTTTAAGTTCTAACTTAATGAACACTAAATTAAAATCTAAAGAAGCAGACGTTTGGGCTCAAACATTTTGTATAAAAGTTCAATAATTGATTCTATAAATAAAACACTTAAAATTATTTTTCATTGTATATAAAAAACTTTAAAGCAAAAACTGGTTTTATAATGTTGTTTTTAATAATAACTTATTTTTTCAGAAGAATTTTTTTTTACCTGTAATTTTACTCATTTGATTCTATAAAATATTTATTAGAAAACAATTCATTCTTCCTTTGCAAGTTTTATATTATCACAAGTCTCCTTACTTAAAAGAGTTCTCTATTAAAAGATATTTAGAACATATTAAACAAAATTAAATATAAAAAGAAGATATACTTTCATAAAAAATATATACTCATTTAAACTTTGTCAGTGTGGAGGTAGTTACAAGTTACATTAATACTATATATTTCTTGTTTTTAAATGTGGAGAAAAGTAGTTCATAGAAAAAGATAAACGTTTTTTTTTTGATAAGGGTAAGTAATTTCTTAGATTTGATTGAGTTCATGATGTAAACAATCTAGTTTACATATTGAACATATATTCTTACTTTGTTTTGTAACTTTTATTCTTTATTGTTTTTTTTTTTTGTTTTTTAATAATATACTTTAATTTTAATAATATACATGGATTACATCCATGTAACAATTGTCCAGATCAGATTGTAAAATTGCATTGTTTTTAATGAGCTTTGAATTGTCTGCATCAAGAGACACTTTGTACAACATATATCTGCTATACAAGTCTGGAACCCTTACGTTGTTGTCTTATAAAATTAAAAACAGTACAACACAACATTACAAAAATTTACCAAGCTTTTAAAGTTAAAAACTGTAAGATTCAATGCAAAATGACATAGCTAACATAGAACTGATTCAAGCTACTCTTAAAGATAGACATAACATAGAACTGATAAGTCAGTTAACAACTGTATCATCAAAGATTGAAGCGTTTAGTAAGATAATGTTGTTGAAGCAATATCACTTGATAAATTCAAGCAATTACTCATCATGCTTACTACAGTTCATCACTAATCATCGTGCTTACTACATTTACTTACAGTAAATGCCACACAAAAGTGGGTAACATAAATCATGTATAAATTCATATACTCAGCTGAGGATAAGTTAAATAAGATTTCATCTTCATGTAACTTAACTAAGTAACAATATAAATCGAAAAGTAGAATTATGTATTACAATATATACACAAGTAGTAAATGTATTAAATAATCACATAAAATATAGCAGCTTAGGAATTAAATACATTTATCCTTTATGAAATTCTCTCAAGTGATGCAATACTCTCTAATTTGAATTTTATAGAGGAAAATAAAGTTTGAATTATAGAGATCGTTGAATTATAGAAATTTGACTTTTTACAGCAATATTTCATGGTGATTCAAGTTATGGAGGTTTAGAATTAAGGAGATTTAATCAAGTTATGGAGGTTTAGAATTAAGGAGATTTAATCAAGTTATGGAAGTTTAGAATTATGGAGATTTAATCAAGTTATGGAGGTTTAGAATTAAGGAGATTTAATCAAGTTATGGAAGTTTAGAATTAAGGAGATTTAATCAAGTTATGGAGGTTTAGAATTAAGGAGATTTAATCAAGTTATGGAAGTTTAGAATTAAGGAGATTTGAATTAGAGAGATTGTACTCTACCACAATATTTTTCTTAAATAAATTTTGTTCAAAATTTTTAAAATTTATTTTATTAGATTAGAATCAATTCACTTTTTAGTTTTGTTTTCAGTAAATATATATAT